TAAACAGTTGCATTTAATTTTGCTTATGATTTGTTATCAATGCTACTCGTAAATACTGTATTTACAGTCAACTGTAATAGGTACACCAAGTCACATGATTGTTGCTTCTGTAAAACAATCTTACCTGACAAAGAAAAACAATGAAACCTCGATTTAACCTAGTTCTGGTCATTTATAAGTGACGTATCTCTACATGAGCACACTGAACCATGTCATTCACCTTATGACATTACAACCGCGCGTAAAATATAATTAAATGCACCATAATAATATCAACACGTTCAAAGCAGGCCATTGTAAATAAGATAAGGCAGTGAGTGAACGCCATTCAGAATCAACCTTTGGGATTTTAATGAATTAATTTAAGATGTAATGTGCCAAGACTGTGGACACACTCACCTAGATGTCTCCGGTTGTAGGTTTTGTCATCGATACTTGCAGTAAATACGCTACGACATCAGCGGTTTAGACAGTGAACGCGATGGTGTTGTATCTCCTTGTCCTTGCGTTATTGAAGAAAGCGCGCATCACTGCTTCAGCGTAGCGTTGCTATGGCGTCAGATATAAAGGAGGGATGCCCGTGCACGAGCGTGGCTGCTCCTGATGTAGGTCACATCAAGAATAACTGGATCATACTGAAGATTCACTGAGGTGCATAAAATTACTCACTAAAATAAAGAGGATTTACTAGCGGCTGGATAGATAAAAGAAAGAGAGAATGTGGGATGTGTTGTACATTACGCCGCATAAAGAACTGGAAGTCACGCATAATGATTTCATTCAGCAGGGGCTGTGTAGATGAAAGCTATAGCATGTGGGCTATAGGCACAAGACTCAGTGGCAATTAAAAAAATAAAAAAATAAAAAGGCTTTTACTCTTAGTTTACTGTGAGTGCTTTTATTTTCATGACCCTATACAAAATATTAACCCTGTCCGTTCATGCTGTCTCTGACCTTCAGTCAGAACTTTCATGGGAGTTGTAGTTTCTTTTTGTTCACGATTGTAGTTTTACTAAAAATGTTATATCTGTTTATCTATGTCTGTCTCTCTGTCCATCTATCTATCTATCTATCTATCTATCTATCTATCTATCTATCTATCTATCTATTTATCTATCTATCTCTGTCCATCATCTATCTATCTATCTATCTATCTATTGTTCTATCTATCTATCTATCTATCTATTGTTCTGTCTATCATTCTGTCTGTCTGTCTGTAAATCTCTCCATTAATATTTTTTTTAAACATCCATCCATCAAAAATCAAATAGCAACCTTAACTGATGTTTCTACTATCCCATCAATAAGGCTAAGAGACCCATTATTAATACCCAACCAGAAATGGTGTGCTAATTAAAAAAAATTAAAAACAGACATGCAAAGTAGCACATATTTTACAAATGTCATCCACACAGATGTATAAACACATTTGTTGGTAATTACACAATAGTTTGATCACAATAGTTGTTTTAATCTGTTACTTCTTTGTTTTGTAAGTGTTTAGCAATGCAAAATCAAAATCTTGGTCAATATAGGGAAACCCTGGTTGGCATGTGCAAAATGTCAAAGATCTTCAAAGCCACTGATTGACTGATGCTGGGACTTCATGGGAAGCAGCACTTTCACTCCAGAGGGACGGAGCTCAAAGGTCACAGATGGTTTGGAGGCTGAAGTGTGATGAGAACTGCTGTGTGGAGCATGTGTGTGTGTGTGTGTGTGTGTGTGTGTGACTGACTGAGGGAAGTAAGGGTGTGTGCGAGGTTGAGGAAGCGCTTGGGTTGAATGGGGATTATGGGAGTGTATTTGTCTGTGTGTGAGTGTGTGTGTGCAAACAGTCACATCCCCTGCGTTTCCCTAGGGACCAGAAGGGGGCAGCCCCGACCCAGCCTCTCCCCCATTAACCACAGGAAGTAGTACAGGAAGCAGCCCATGTGTGAGCCATCAAAGGCCCTGTGGTGACACCCAGAGCCTGGGACGAGGTGCTGTGGCTGGGGACAGAGGGATGCACTTGAAGCTAAAGGATTCTAGAGGCCAGGGGGTCAAACACAACCTCTTTGAAAAAGTTTCAGTTTCCCATAACTAAGCTGAGAATCGGCGGTTTCCACACGTATGCATGTGGTGTGCGTCATCAAATGACACTGGAGTAATTAAGGTTATCCAATCCTGTTTTGCTATTTCTCTTTTCCCTTTGGATCTGTGACTATTTCACAGTAATCAAAGAATTAGGCAAAACATTTAGCAATTATATGCCATCCATGTTTTGTGTTGTAAGAGTGAGTAGTAGATCTTCTATTACAATTGTACTGCACTGACATGTATTTTATAACTCTGCTGAAAAATTTCAGATTGAGCCAGACACTGTGTTTTGGAACATTGAAGCTAAACTGGTCTATACTAGTCGAAATGGCTCATTAGCTAGTGCATGCTAGTAGACCATCTTGGATCATTCACGAAATTGATGGAAATTGCTTGCTTGAATCAGTTAAAGACCAGATAATAACCAGCTAATGACAAGCTTGAACCAGTTAATGAACGGCTTGAACCAGCTAATGACCAACATGAACCAGCTACTGACCTGCTAAGACCAGATAATAACCAGTTCGGACAAACTGAGGAAAAGCTTTAACCAGCTAAATAACCAGCTCAAACTAACTAACAACTAACTCAAACCAGCTCGGACAAGCTAATGACCAGCTTAAACCTGGTTAGGCCAGCTAATGACCAGCTTGAACAGCTATTGACAAGCATGAACCAGTTTATGGCCACCCTGAACCAGCTAATGACCGGCTCTGACAAGATAAGTATCATAATAGATTGAAACAGCTAATGACCAGCTTGACTCAGCTAATTATCCGCTTGAGCCAGCTAATGACCAGATCAAACCAGCCATGTAAGGACCAGTATAGATTGAACCATCTAATGACCAGCTCAAATCATCTAATTACCAGGTTGAGGCAGGTAATGACCAGGTTGGACCGGCTAATGAGCTTAAACCAATTAATAACCAACTCAAATCAGCTTGAACCAGCTAATGACCTGGTTAGACCAGCTAAAGCTTCAACAGCTAATGGCAAGCATGAACAAGATTATGGCCAACCTGAACCAGTTAATGACCAGCTCGGACAAGTACCAGCATAGATTGAAACAGCTAATGACTAGCTTGACCCAGCTATATTATCAGCTTGAACCAGCAAATACCAACTCAAACCATCTAATTACCAGGTTGAGGCAGCTAATGACCAGATTGGACCAGCTAATTGTACGTTTTAAACAACTAATAACTTTCTTGAACTATCTAATGATGAGTTTAAACCAGCTAGAAACCATGTTCCAAGCTACCTGCTTAAAATGGATTTTACAACAAACATTTTATGAATTTGTTTCTAAAAGAGAAGCTTGGCTGCAGGCGAAGATTCATAACCACAGTGCTAATGTTAATTCCAAGAAAATGCTGGAACACTGGGAGACCTTTATGACAGGTCATCCACAGTAGGAAATTAAGTTTTAATCTTTTAAGCCTTCAGTAAACAAACAGAAAATGATGATGTCTTTCCCTGTGTTATAATCCCTGAGTTGTTTGTGAAATTAAAGACAGAAAACGAGGCTTAACTTCAGCTCTCATGTAGCACTTGAGTTAGCCCAGTGTTGTCACTTGGCTCATAATGCTGGGTTCATTGAGGTGGTTAGCAAAGGACAGGAAGTCTTTTACACGTCTCAAGCATCATGGGGATTTATAAAGTCAATAATCAGCGTAAATACAGAGAGACAGATGAAGGGGGAAGCTGAGAAATTAACAAGTGAAAGAGTGGAAACATGAAACTCTATTAAATAAACAATCTCTCTCCCTCACTCTCTGTCTCTCTGTGTAAACTGTCACGGTATAACCGTAAGGTGCTTTCACATAAACAGCCCTATACAATAAATAGACCCAGACTGCAATATTACAGTTCAAACCACGATTAAACACTTGCACTCGCATCCTTGCTAACACTGATCTTACTTTCCTCTACTGTGTACATGTTAGCATGGGCACTCTATTCTTTGGATTTAATTTTTGTTTTATTTTAATTAAATTTTAAAGCCCCGTTCACACCAAGAACGATAACTATAAAGGCCCGTTCACACCAAGCACGATAACTATAAAGATAATGATAAAAAACAGCCCATATAGCTACTTTATCACTAGAAAAACTGAAATAAGCATAACACATCAAGGTGTTGTGTGATCATTTAAAAGACTTTTATTAGCGTTTACAATGACAAGCAATATATAACACAGCAATTCATAGTGCAACAGTTACAGGGATTAACATAAATCCATTTTTCTTTATTTATTCATACTTTTTCTTATTTTTACTTCTCTAAAATAGCACTCTCCATTTTAGAAATATTTTTTTCAACCCCCTCCACCTTACTCACCCATCCAACATGTCAGTCACAAATATATGTTGATTGCTAGAATCCTCAAAAAAAAACAATTGAATGTTAACTTGCACAAATAAATAAATTGAAAGTTGACTTGCAAAAAGAATTAAAAATAATTAAATGCATAAGTAAAATTAGAATGTGAAAAAGTAATCAAATAGTATATTAATGACAGTCCTATTTTGCATCTCACCACCAGGTAATTACCCTTTACCTTAAATAAATGTCAAGTATTTACTCCACATTCTCCTATAAACCAAGTAGTCTGACTTTTTCTTTTTGTATACTGCAACTTTTGCCAATTCTGTAACCCATGAAAGATGGTGAACCACATTTCTGGAAAGGGAGAGAAAAGACTAACTAGTAGTATTGTTTTTAAATTTATAAGCATTAAATGTTAATTTTACATTCAGATAAGCATTTAAACAATAAAAACAAAGGACCCATGACAATTTCAGCACTGGGAAGGGCTAAATAGTGATGACTGAAATTAACTGAGTGATGGCTTTTGGATGCTCCATAGTATAACAAAAAGTAGACCGCAAACAGATACTTCTGGCATCTCTGTGCTATTAGTCAGTGACACATCCATTTTGATGCTAACTCTCCTTGCGATGAGTAGGCTTGACATCCTAAGATGGGGATACAAGTCAGAGAAACATTTATTAGACCTATGGAGAGTACAGTACAACAGGGAAAAGAAAGGAATCTCTCACAATTAAATACAATCTTAAAACTTACTTGAATTAGAGAGGAGTGTGGTGTTTTCATCTGAATGTAGATGACCAAACAAGTAATGCTGCACTCCATAGTCTAGACCTGCAGTGACAGTACAAAACATTTATTTATTTATCAATCAATCATAAGAACCTGCATGATAAAATGTGGAAAATAGAAGAAGAAAAAAATATATCAGTAACTTCAGATTAGCTGCGTTTCCCAAAGTTGGTACTGTGAGGAAAAATAAATAATGTACCTTTTGTGTTATTGTTTTGCAGCAAGTTGGTCATGTTTCCTCTGACTTCCACTTTTCAGCACTCTGATAAGGTGGTGGTAAAACTTTAAAAGTGCTCTCTGAGATAGATGAACATCTACAACAACCAAATACAGTGTGTTTAGAATAATATACAATTACTTCAGCAAAACAAATAATTATATTTTACTATACTGCAAACAACAAATACTCACAGTTATTCACAGAAAAAATGTTAACATCAGCATTTTCATCAAATAGCACCTTTTGGACATTGTAAATTTGTTTCATGTGATAAATGTGTGCACTTCAGAACATGTGAGACAGCACAACAGAAAAAGGGAGGGGAAGAAAGAGAGAAAGATAAAGGCAGTATCTAGAAAATACTACTTTGTATCTAGATGCTAGATAGGCTACTTGAAACCAGACACTTATTCACCCAAGTGAACCAAGTTAGCCTAAATGCTAGCAGCTTAAGTGCTTCATATGGGACACCTATGTTTTGGCTTGCTATTAGGCTTGAGAACAGGCAGTATTTAGTTAAGTGGCTTGGATTGGGAAAGTAGCTTATTGTTTGTAAGATTTCTGTTTAAAGTCTTACAGAATGACATTAATGGTTATGGATCTCTGTTGTACTTTGATTAGCATTGGTGACATTTTGTCAAATGACAACATGCTGTCACCTAGTGGTTTGACATTCAAAGTACACTTAATTGGCAAACAATACATCTCATGTTAACAACGGTTTTATTAAATGTTATTTACTATACATGTTATTAAATATAAATATATTATACTAGATTTTTCATATTTTCAGTTCTCATTTTAGTTTTATTTTATGTTTTAGTCATTTTATGTGCATTTTTTAAATTTATAAATATTTCTATAGCTTTAATTACTTTTTATTTCATTTTCAGTTTTAGTAATTTTAGTAGGCTACCTCAACTACATTTTTATTATTTCAATTAGTTTTCAAAGCAACATTCCTGAAGTTTTTTTTAGATTAAGTTTTTTAATATTTCTATTTGATTTGATTTGATTTTTGACTTTTATTTATTTAAGCATTATTTCAATTACTGAAAACGATTTTTAAGTAATCGAATAACTTAAAAGATGATTTTCTGATTTTATTTTTACAACCCTAATTCTAAAGCCTTATTGAAAAGCCTTGACACCCAAGCTCTGCTTTAGAGTAACGGGTAAACCAAGGTCGCTTTTAATTATACTAGTAATGATGAGACAAAAAGTGAGTTTCCAAAAGTGCAATTATTTGCTCACATTTCCTCACAAAAACCAATGTTCTTGTTAGCTGGTTATTCAGTGTTCCATAGCCAATGCAATTTGTTATCCTGGGGACAGTAGCACAACCCCATTATGAAAAAATCTGTTATTTCCAACTTCTGAAGGTTATCTGAAAGAGCGTTCCCCCAATTACAATTTCAGAAGTTCCTATTGCATTTTCTGCTCTGTGAAGCCTATTATTTGATACCAACCAGCCGTAAGACCACAGAAATGAATGGATCTGATGTAATCACATACTGATGCAATAGATTATAGAATCAGGTTTTAATCATTACAAAAAACAAAGAGCTTCCTGTTATGTGTGTGTGTGTGTGTGTGCGTGCGTGTGTTTTTTGTGTGTGTGCGTTGTTGTGTTTGTAAGCAACACTCCAGGCAATTAATCAATCAAAGCGGGATTATTGAAAGCCAAGAATGGATGTGGCTCTTGAAAGAACTTCAAAGTAATTATTTAAATAATATTGTCCTTTGAGCATGTTGAGAACATTTACATTGTTTGCATTGGGAATAATCTGGGAATCTGATCAACCACTTTGGACGCTCTGGCATAGTGTCTTCCTTCAAAGAGTGGCTCTCAGTCTTCATTAGTGGCTTCATTAGCTTTCTCACATCTCTGATCACTTGTAATCAGGTTGATGATGAGAACTGGGTATTTCACGGCTCAAGTTGCCAGCCGAAAGAATTAAGGATTGTCTTCCCTTTATTTTAAATAAAAATATCTAAGTAAGAGACATAGGCTTACTAAGATGAGTAGTTTACAAAAAGATTTTTTTTAACCAAATGGCAATTTTTAAAATATTTAATGGGCCAAGGATACAGTTATTTGATCATAAAAAAATTCAAAAATATATACTAATTAAAATATGGTAAAATGCAAAAGTATTTTTTTTTTTGTACAGTTTTTGTAATATTTTAATAAATATTATTACAAATATTATTTTCTTATTTTAATCATTCAGACCTCACTAAATTGTTCGATTTACATTTAAAAAAGGGGCCAATTATATATTTATCATTTTTTATCATCTTTTTATTGTATATCTACATATATATATATATATATATATAGACTAATATATTATTATATAATACAGTATAAGAATTATATATATATATATATTTTTTTTATTTTATTTTATTTTATTTTATTATATATATTAATAAATCTGTAGTATTTTGTACTGTTATAAAATACATAACATCTCTAAATATATGTAAATTAAAACATAAAATAATTAAAATATATATTTGTGTACTTTTGAAATGAGCAAACTTTGCCCTTAATGTTCCGTACAGCGGCCTCATCATTTGGCTGAGCTCAGGGGTGCAGAATTCTGGGTGATGGTCCCACTCCAGGACTTGTGGGATTGATGGTGAGAGCACCAGATGGCTCATTAATGGCACTGCACCAAACTGGCACTGCAGGGAATACCGGATACCATCCACCAAGCTAAACCAACATCTCCAGACGCTAAGAAATAGGAGTGCATGCAGTTTATACACAGACAATCACACAAGCTCATGCACGCGCACACACAGATAACGTGCATGGACCACGCACTCATTTACACACACTCTCTGTCACTCACACAAACACGCATACACACCTCTTTGATTAGAGCAAGGTCTATGCAATAACTCATATTGACAGCCACCCGACCAAACTTGGCTCGGTGCAACAGGGAAGCAAACCTAATCATTGCACGCGCTAAAAATAACTCCTTTATTTCTCGCTCTCGCTCACTTTTGTTCATGTTTATCCCCCCTCCCTCTTCACGACTCCTTCTGCTTGCTGTCTCACAGCATATTGTCTTTCTCTGCCAACTGACATCGTAACTGTTTCTGCTCATCTGTCTTTGCCGCCAGTCTGGATGTGCCAAATTCAGCTGCTCACAGACGGATGCAAATAACGTCTGTTTCTTGTTGAACACGGACACGGTGAGAATATTTCTGACGTTAAATGGTACTTTATGGGTTTTCGAGGTGTGGTGGTCTCTTGGTGGGGGTTACACAGCTCAAAACACCCCTGAGATTATATATTTTGAGTTGATATTATGATTTCAAACAGTAGAGGGCGCCACAAGAATGCGTCACGAAACCGTTTCATTCGTTCTCAAGAGATTTATTTATTTATTGCAGTGTCTAGATGTCAAACTTAAGTTATTAGAAGTCAACATGTGCCTCAAAATATCTTGAAAAGACTTGAATCGTCGCTGGAAGCTGAAGAAACTACATGTGAGCCGCAATCAATATCTGTCCTTCACATCAGAGTCGCTCAAAACATGGCCAGTGAAGTATAAAATGACCTGCTCTGTGTCTGTCTTGTTTATGATTTGCCAGATGATTCAGTCATCTATTTCTTAGCATTTAGTAAAAGAGGTGTGACAGATCCACTCCGAGCAATAGAAGTACGGGACTATTTGAGAGAAAATAGAACAATGGTTGCAGATGACAGCCGGCTCTGTGTTCCTAGCTCGGGCACAATGCCATCTCATTCCCCCTGACAGCTATCATTATTCTAATTTTTTCTCTGATTTTCTGTGTTTTTCCATCGCTGCTCCTGTTATATTTCTCGTGTTTTGCTCAACTTTTCGCTGCATTCTACGCTGTAAAATATTTGAGAAAGGCATTTTAGGAGGGTTGAGAGAGAATGAGGCAGGGAGGGAGAGAGAATAAATGAAAAAGCAAAGCATCTCTGTCCCTACAGGCCTCAGGGCAAAGACCGCACTCTTTTCCTTCAGACAGACTAATTTCCATAGTCATGAATTATTCAAATCATTCAGCTTTGACACTCAGTCCAACTACAACATACACACACGTGCAAGTGCACTTTCGCTGCAATAACACACTGGGGTCCAAAACAACATTTTAAAGAGACACTGCATTAATGATGTTGCTCATGTTACCCAGACTGTCCTCTGAAGGCAAAGCCAGAAAAACACCTTGCTTATTTCAAAGACCTCAACTACCTGTGGAATTTGGTGGGTTTATAAAGGTCAGTCTGTTAAATAGCTCTAATCTGGCCAGATTAAAGCCTATAAAGTTCAATAATATAAATTAAGATGGTTGAAGTTTCCTGAGACAATTTTTTAATGCAAACTTATTTTTGTTGTTTTTTTATTTTATTTTATTGTACTTTATTTTATATATTGAATTGATTATTTTGTTAACATTGCTGACACCTTTTTATTTTATTTTATATTTTTGTTTTTTATTGTATATTGTTTTTATAATTTTATTTTCTTATTTGTAATCTTCTTTTATTTCTTCTTGTTTTGTTTTATTTTATTTTTTATTATTTATTTATTCATTTTTTTTGCAAACATTACTTGTCATTATATCTGTCATTATTCTAAACATGTATTATTGTCAATCCTCCTCCTACTCAGCCAAACATTAATCTTCAAAAAAGCAGCCATAAACATGCAATAATGAAAGAGGTGGGCTTAAATATGTTGTCACAACACAATTTTCTGCATCCATCCTCAATATCTGTCCTTTGATTATGATTTACAATTGGTTTGGCCTTAATCTCAGTCACAGCATGAGCCAGATTACCGCAAATCTCAGATTTACTGTAAATGGGAGAGGAAAAGATCATTCTTTTATTCCAGCTCAGGCTTCACAGCAGGGGGCCTGTGGGGGGCCTTAAGGGTGTTTGAAGCAAGGTTAGAGCAAAGAACTATTTCTGATTCCTACTTCCGCTCTGGAAAATGCTTTTTTTCAAACACTTTTGAAGACTGAAACAGGCAGGATTGATCTACATAGATCTGGAAGAATGTCTCATCACCATCAGAGATAAAAAAGTGGAAATGGATTTTTACCAAATACAGACTCAGTGATCACAGTATCCAGGCGGTTATTAAAGTATAGTAAAGATGGATTTAACAAATATAAATATAACAGAGATAGAGTTTGAAAACAAAAAATATCAGTACGGTTTTTTATTGTTCTGTATACTATGCATTTTTTAAATTTATTAAAGGGGTCATATAATGCAATTGCCGCGCCGTTCTCAAGCCCGCCGGCCGTTCCTCACTCTAGCCCGGCCGCCGCTCACTCTAGCCCGCCGGTAAAATAATGTTCTTTTTAGCAACATCATATGACCCCTTTAACTTTACTTAAACTAGTATTTCTGATAATTTATTTTATCGTGCAACTGTTTTTGTGTATTGATGCTTTGTCAGCAAAGTATGCCATAAAATGCTAATAGATTTTATCTATTGTTTTTTATTTTATTTTAATGTCATTTTATTGAAGCCATGAAGATGATTCCTGAACATTTATTTAACTAAATTGTTATTTTAATTGATTAACTTTGCTGATACTAACATTTCTGGTACTGTTTTTTTTTATGTCACTGTTTTTGTGTATTGATGCCTTGGCAAACAATGTATGCCATACAATTGACATTTATTTTATTTATTGTATTTTATTATTGCATTTTACAGTTTTTATTTGATCAAAAAATGCTTGAAAAATATTTATTTTAATTTATGTTTGAATGTCATTGTATTGAAGCCTTGAAGCCGTGATTCCTGAACATCTATTTAACTAAATCGTAATTTTAATTGATTAACTTTGCTGATTCTAACATTTCTGGTACTGTATTTTTATTATTATAATTTTATCATGTATTTTTATTATTATTATTTTATCATGTCACTATTTTTGTGTATTGATGCCTTGGCAACAGTGTATGCCATACAACTGACATTTATTTTATGTGTTTTTATTATTGCATATTACAGTTATTATTTTATTTAAAAAATGCTTGAAAAATATTATATATTATTGAAGCATTAAAGACTGTTCCTGAACAATTATTTTTATTAAATTGTCGTTTTAATAACTAAATTTTCTGGTACCATATTTTATTTTGTTATGTGACTTTTTGATGTTTTGGCAACACTGCATGGCATAAAATTTAAATACATTTTATCTGTCATATTTTATTATTGTATATTGTATAATTTATTTTATTTTATTATGTCACTGCATTAAAAAAAATGCAACCTGAAATTGAAAGTGTTTGCGTTGTGTGTGTGTGTGTGTGTGTGAGAGAGAGAGAGAGAGTGAGAGAGTGAGAGTGAGAGAGAGAGAGAGACGGTGCTCTCTCTGGTCAATCGGGGCAGGTCCAGATGAGTCCTGTGTCCTCATACATCAGCTGTCGGGACTTTTACTTCACCGGCTTTCCTTGAAAACTCACACAGGTACCCGTGAACATTCATACTTCACCCGCACCTGGCGTCTTATCTGAAGCTCAGCCTACAGGGCGTGGAAAAGCCGGGAATTGTTTTCGACGCTGGATTCCCAACATCGCCCATACTTCTTCGGATTTCCCTAACAAAGTGTCCTGCTTCCCCGGCTTTTCTCAAGGAATACTCTATTTTACTTCTAGCTCCGGTGATCCACTTGGAAGACGAATAATGTAAAGCTTTGATCGCGATCGCTCTCTGGCAGTTTCCGAACAGAAATCCTGATCTGCCATCGCGAGTTGTTTCTCAGAAAGGTGAGTGAGTGTTCAACTTTCTGTTTGTTTCAAGTGCGTGGTTTACATTTTTTAGCCGCGCATGTTTGTAAACGTTTAAAACAACGTCCAATCGCTTTATTTTCTTGAGTCTTGCGCGTTCCTCCTTCAGACTTGAACTGTTATCGCTACATTTGTGACATTCTTTCAAATTAAATCAGATTGAAGCAATTTAAGTGGATTCGCAGTAACCGCTTTTGAAGCTTTTGTAACACTTACAACAAAAACATCGAGTCTCATTAACATGCAACTTTTGTAATGTATTGTTTCAGCTGTCGTTGATTGTTTAAATATGTAAATTTAGCGATAAAAGCACGCGCGGGGGTCGCGAGAATGTGGAAAGATACGCGACGTCGATAATGTCTCATAAAAAAGTATCAGTACTGACATTCGTTAAGTACCATGCTGTTTACATGGTATTCCAGGCAGGGTATTTCCAAGATTACCATGGCACTGGGTCCAAAGCACAATAGTAGTACCATGGTACATATCTAAAAACATGACTATATGTGAAAAGAAAAACATCTAAGTACCATGATTTGACATTTATAAGTGCCACTTTGGCTTCTGATCGTTCGGTTTATGCAGCACATATTTGCCTTCAATCCTCTAAGGTCTTTAAGAAACAAGATTTTCGGGTTTACACATGACATGTTAGCATGTTGTTGATAACTCAAACTCTCCTTTGCTCATTCTGTTTGCTTTAGCCGGATGTTTGTTCGCCTTAACACTGTGCTGATGCTTGACACATGCTGTCCTAATAGTGTATCTAGCACTATCTCATCTAAGATGCTCTTTGGTGATGTAAAACAATGATTAATGATGGGATATTTAGCAATACATGTTGTGTTTGATTGACCGTGGACCATTTGTCACAGACTGTGGCTGGAGCAGAAAGCAGAGCTAGTATCTCTGTTCCTGTTGTCATCGTCTGATGAGTTTCACGTACCTTCATTTCATTTTCTCCTGGCTTGTTTATTCTCCCAATGACACCCAGCTCTCATATTATACAAGCTATTGTGATAAAATCAACTATAATGAGGTAATCAAATTTCCCTCTGCTCTGTAATTGGGTGGCTGCGTTGCTGTTTGTATTGCAGTGAAGTTCATTGCTGGCAGTGTTACACAACTGATCACTTTGAATGTTTGTCTATGAGTTAAAGGCATACTTTGAAGCTTTGCTTAACTGGCGAACCTTTTACTGGAGAGTTCAAGTCCAAGTTTAGCCTACATTTAAAGCGATGCCCAGCAACAATTTGAAAAGCTCACCTAGATGGCTATTCCAAATGGACATTGATGACAAACAGCGTCTGATACAGTGAAAAAAAGGCATATTTTCACTCAGAAATTGCTAGTTAATTTTGCAGTTCATTAAAAAGTAACAGCAAGCACTACATTCTTTTACACCAATACAAGTACAAATACACAGTGCTTCTGGGAAATAGCACTATTCTGTGTGCTTAAGCCCTTCTAACCAAATCCCAACTACTACATATAATCTAAATCTTGGAGTGTTTTTGATTGCATTCATTTCAGTGGGTTTGCATGGATTTGATGACTGTAATTAGTAGAATATTAGCTTTATTAACAATTAACATTTGTTAATTAACATAGTTACTGAATATACATAAACAGCCGCAAAACTTTATTTTGATTCTTCCGTATGGGAACGTTCCTCTTGCTTGAGCGATTCATAGCAGGAAGTCATCCGGCCCCCTCAAGGTCAAAGATCAATGGTCAAAAACAGTGAGCGTGGAGTACATTCTTTTTACCCATCTTTCTTCCTCCATTTTTTGTCTCTTATGAGCAATGATTGTGTTTATTTGTGCTTCTTGTTGAGGAACAAGCACCCAGTACACAGTGGCCTCATTCATACACTTCCTGAGGACTTTGTGTGTTTGTGTTTGTTCATGTCGCCCATAGAACATGGAGCTGGCTTGATTAAAGAATCATGATAATCATGTGAAACCCTCATCTTCCTGTTTTGAGTCACTGACTTGTGTCTCAACAGGTCCTTTGGTCTGTGATTATCAGTGTTGATTGTTATGAGAGTGATAATGCTGAATAACTGGCATTAAAGAGAGTGTGTTGAAAATGCGTACGGTATGTATCTGTGTTTGTGGTTTCGTTGTCCTTGTTCGTACATCTTCGCCGGGCCTCTTGGATAAGCCCATCTGTGGTCTGGATGTTCACTCAGTCATTCTCACTTCCTGAACAGCCCACTCAGTTATGAGCTAATCACAATGGCTTTTCTTTCTGCCGTTCTGCGTTATGTTTCTCAAGAACACTCTTGGCGCAGGAGTAGGTACGTTTTCTCTTTTTTTGAAGGTACTTTACTTTCACAGTTGCTCATAATTATGTAATGATTAATTTTCTATTCGTGCTGTGGGCACGATTTTTGAATAATATAAAATAATATGCTTAGTCATGCATAAACAGATCTCGGAACAGCACGTCTATCTTAAAGGGAAGGTTCACCTAAAAATGCAAATTGATATTTTAATCACCCTCATGTTATTTTCAAACCCGTTTGAGATAGTAACGTGGAACATTTTGAAGAATTTGAAGAATGTAGTTATTGCTCTTTTTCATTTAGTTACAAAGAATGACTGAATGTTGCAAAAGCATCATTAATGTGTCATAAAACGTACTTTTGTGCATAATGTTCTTTTTAGCAGCATCATATGACCCCTTTAAATATTCTGAAGCCATGCATCAGATTTTGAGTCAATCATTAAGGCTGGTTTATGAACAGGATCAACCAAGTCATTGACGCAAAATAATTATTCATTCGTTAACTCTGTCTAATATTAAAAAGATTGTCAGGAGGATGTTCTTCAAAAAGTCACCTTGACAACATACAAAATTGGTAAATTATGTTATTGAGTCAGTGAGTGGAACTTGAGAAATGGATAAGTTTGATTCATGAACAGATCATTCAGGCAGGTTTTGTGAACTGTATCAACCAGTTCATTAAAATGATTTGACTCAAAAGAGTGATTCATTCGTAAACTCTCATTAAGGCTGATGACAAGGTATTGAATGTTTTTAGAAGACATGGAATATATTGCAAAAGTCATATGAACTTCCTTTTTGATACTTTTATTGTTCTTTAATGGTCATTTTGGAGTTTAACAGTCCCAGTTCTCATTTACTGTCTTATATTAAAAAGATTGGCCAGGATGTTCTTCAAAAAATCACCATAAACATGACTCTTTTTAAGATGTTTTTTTAACCACAAAGGGCTTAAGTCAGTGAGTGGAACTTGAGAAGCGGATCAGTTTGATTCATGAATGGATCATTCTGGCTGGTTTTGTGAACTGGATTTATCCAATTCATTAAAAAGATTTGACTCAAAAGCATGATTCACTTATGAACTGTGATTAAGGCTGATGTCCCTTTGAGGTCAACTAACCTTTGTAGTCCCGTATGCCCCAGAACAGCCTTCTGCAGGTTGCCCTTCTCTGTCAGCTGTTGCAATAGAAGCAAGCATCTTGTCAGTCTGAGGAAAGCACTCTGAATCCTCATATACGGTGACGCTAATGGATTTCTATGGGCGCTAATTTAGGCCTATGTCACGCTAATGGATCTGCAGTGGTAGATTGTGCTGAGAATAATGAAAAAGCCGCACAAAGGCTGATGTCTGTCGAGAAGCCGCCACTTCGCCACAATGCCTGATACAACCTCGTTTTCCCCCTCCATTCTGCTTTAATTCAGAATGTGGCTTTTGGGCATCATATTTAATTATTGGGAATGAGGTGGAGAGGAAGTGTGAGATGGAGACATGCCAGGGCATGTTATGATGTCCTAGAGCTCACGTCTTCTGGGGTTGGAGCAGCAGATTCATTTGCTCGCATCGCCCTTCTTTTGCGTTATCAGGGGACAAAGGTTATGTTTATTTCAGACTTCCGTTTAAGCTGTTGGCCTGGAATGCCTTGTGCATTAATGCTCATCATGAGAGATATTATGTTGTAGGATCATGGGAATTTGTGCCTGTGCTTCTCCTAAATGTTGTTTATATTCAGTCACACGCTTCAGCAGTCATTGATTTGTGTATAGATAACCGCACAGGTGTCCTTCCATACTGAGAAGGCATAGACCTGCTTTTCGGAGAGAGTTCTACGATATAAGAGCTGTTTCGCTCTGAGTTAGTGCTCGATCAATATGGGTTTTTCATCAGCTGATACCTAGAGAGCGGGGTAGCTGATGAAATGTTAATACAGTATGATGGCAATTGCGACTAGTAATGTTTGTGCCGTATCGATTATTCACAGATTTTTATTTCAAATGTATTTAATTTTATTGGCATTGGTCTTTTGGAGATATATATATATCAGCTAATATTGGATATTTAATTTCTACTCTCTTTACGTTTAGGTTACATTTAGAACTCTCTGTAAGATGTTGACAAGGGTAATCCAAAACACTAATAATTTAATAATATTGTTGATTGTTATAGATTTGTGATGCCTAAGTTAGCATTTTCCATTTCAAATAATTGAATTTGTTTTTATTTATGTAATATAGAATTTTTTCATTGGCCATTTATCGGTTAAAAATGTCTGAAAATACATTATTGACTTTTTAAATGCATTTTGTTGTATTTATTTTTTTATTTAAGGCTGTTGGTAAATTCACAAATTTTTAAGCGCTTTGTTCTTTATATATTTAGACAATATAGTATAGATCTGCCATCATGGTTATCAAAATAAAAAATATATTATTTTTATTATTCTTATTAATTCACAAGACTGTTGGTAGATTAAATATTTTTTTAGTGTTTGTGTGTGTTTTGTTTTAATATATACTATAGAATTGCAATATTGACCATTTATTGGTTATAAAAAAATGGCTGAAATGATATTTTCAGCTTTTTGGTATCAACTAGATTTTTAATAATGGTGTCATCCCTAGCTGAAATTTTACACTGTATACTCAATTTATTTATTTTTATTATTAATTGATAAGGCTGTTACTAGATT